AAAGAATAAAAAAAATAATTGTTAATTTGTATTTAAATGACTGAAAATTATCTCTGGTGTGAGCTCTTTTCACATGATCCATTCCAATGTGCACTAACTATAATGCCAACTCCACCTCTAATGTAAGACCTTTAATATTTTTATAATGAATGTTCCCCGCCAGCCTTCCCATTCAATGAAAGTTAGAGGTTGAGGCATGTCGACGGTTCACAACCCCAACCCTTCAGCTAAACACCCTCATGGTTTCTTCCTTGCTCAAATGAGTGTTCCACGTTAGATCTTTCTGTCGTTCGTTCCTGCACGTACAGTACATGTTAAAGAACTTTATAAATAACCTCAAATGCGTCCATCCACTTTTTTGTGTATACATCGGACAAATTTGTTTCATGCAACATGAGAAATTATATTTTTTAACTATAAATACATGGAATGTGAGGGAAATGAATTAAAATATTTTGGACAGAGTGAGATACCTTGGTTGCAGAGAGTTGTTTTCTGGGTTTGTCATCTTTAATTTCTCCAAATTAAGGAATAGCTCAAAGGGCAGCAGGGCAATGCATGAAAAGAATATATTTAGGGTTGGTATTTATAAGAGGGGAAGTTAATTAAATGCACAGTGAATATGGAAGGCAAGGGAAGTGGTGGTTGGGTGTAATGTGCAACTACATGAAGGACACAACTACCGGTCCAGGGTAAGAGTAATGCCTCAACCCCCGTAAGAGTCTGTTTCATTTCTATTAATTCTACGTTTCGTGGAAGTTGAGAAACATGACCGTACGTGTGAACAACGCCGGACCCACACAGGGGCACATGTCCGCTCTTGCGGACAAGAAATTTAGATTTTAGGTTTTTTTTTTTGTTATATGTCCTTATGTGTCTCTTGTTCAATATTTATATTAGTAAATGTTAATTTTGTAATTTAGATGTTAAATACATTTTGTGTTGAGATTAAATGTCAGTAATTTTTATGACATAATATTGTTTTTCATGTAGTAACTGAAGAGATAGGATGACTTTATTTTTTGAGTTTGCACACTTCAATCGCTCAACTCAACAATCATTAGACATATCTTCACTGTCATACTTGTTTCACTAGTAACATTTTATTTATGAAAAAAATGTTTGTCCTTTTAAATGACACAATTTGTGTCATTTCACTCTCACAAAAAGGTGGAACCCACACTTTTTTTTGTCCACTCTCTCCCCCATGATCTATCTCTTTCTTTCACTTAAAATGATACAATTTTATATCCTTTAAAATGACACATACTTTTCCCTTAATTTATACATCATTTTTTACTAATTTATATTTCTATCTGCTTAGAATTGCTATTTATCCTATCTATTTTTCCTACATTGATAAGTCAACTCCTCCATGTGAAAGTTATATCAAAAAAAATTTCAAGGACAATGTGCGGACATAAACTTTTTTTCCTGGGTCCGCCACTGCGTGTGAATGTCAAGTTGAAATTTCCCACTATAATGTGAACACTATATATACCTTTTTTCTTCTTCTTCATGCAATGTATCATTTAGGTCCAGTACTCTAGTGTGCACTGCACCTATCTAATATCTTTTTTTTTTCTTCATGCACTTTATCATTTAGGTCTAGTACTCTAAGGGTGTAAATGAGTTAGGTTAGGCCAGATTTAAATCTTCATGGCCTAGGCCTACGTAAAATATATGTTGAGCCTATTTAACCTATTAGCCTATTAAAAAATTAGTTTATAGGTCAGGCCTACCATTAAAAAATAAAAAGCTTAACATGACCTATGGGCTTTCTAGGACTACCATGTTAGAAATTTTTATAATAATTGTGGGTTCAATCCTTTCTTGTTTTTAATAAAAAAACGGGTTAAGTCATGATTCATATAGGGGTGCAGTATAAAGCTCATTTAATTAAGTGATGTTTTTGTTTGGGCTTGGATATCTGTAAACTGTGGGAAGAGGACTAGGGTTAATAAGTTTGGCTAGGTTCCCTTTGCATTCACAACGTGTTAGAAAACTGTTACTCCACAACTCGCCCCATCGATGGTTGTGATCAGGGAGTGGTGTGAATTGCAGTGGAAAATCTTGGTCTTTCCATTGCAGGAGCATTAGAGGAAATAAGAAGCCTTCAAGAAATCAAGAATCATGTCTTCAACAAGTAAGCCTAAATCTTTTGGTGTTCTAATTTCATATAATCTCATATTGAAATTTCTTACATTTGGTATCAGAGCCTCAATTATATGATTTAGGATCCAATTATTTATTTTTAGGCATGGTTATGATTTTTAAATTAAATTTTAGTACGAAATTCTTTAATCAATTGAATTAAAAAAAAAAAAGAAATGCAAACCCGATGACCATAGTCCATGAGTGAACGATGAAAGAATCCAACCATATATAAAAGGACAAAAACTTGGTGGTGATAACATTATATCAAAACCGGACCGACCCGGCCGGGTCGGCCCGGAAACCGGTGACCCGGTCACTAAACCGGGCCAGTTTGTTTGTTGGATCGGACTTGTCACGGACCCGGTACGACCCGGTGTGAACCGGCCGGGTTTTAGGAAAACCGGTGAACCGGACGGGTTTTACACAAACCGGACGAGTAATGCGTATTAATTAAAAAAACTAAAAAAACTCAAATACGACGTCGTGTAATAAGAATCACATCTGATTAGTTCTTTTCTTGCTTTATTCTCGGTCTCAACTCTCAAACCCTCTCATCTCAACTCAAGTTTTCAATTTTCAAGCACTTCTTCGCCTCAAATCTCAAAGGCCCTTCGTTGCTTCTGTGGGTGTTGGAGATAGAAGATCAAGGAGGGTAACTTAGATCAACTCAAAGGTAAATGCTTTGTTTTTCTGAACCACTTTTTGGACAGTTCATATTTGGATTGCTTTATCTTTTATTTGCTTCGATCATACGTGATGCTTTACAAGTTTCCTTTTTCTGTTAGATTTTTTCTTGTGATTACTTTAACCAATTTTCATGTTTTTTCATGTTTTATTTGCTTTCTGAACCACTTTTCCTGTTAATGGGTTCTTAGTTCTTACTTTCCTAATAATTTATCAATTTAGTGTACCCTTTTTGATTTGGGTGACATCAATGCAAATGGGTTTCTGATTTGTTAATTGCTTGAAGCCTTGAACTTGAAGCCTTGAAGTATTACATTACTTTACAATTTTCCTTAATGTTACAGTCAATTAGCGATTAGTTGACTTGCTAATTTTGGTTTTTTATTTATGTTTTTTTAGTAATTATTGGATTATTTGTTTAATTTCAGAACCAAGAGTAGCAGGTAAAGCTTGTGAAATAGGTTTGTCTTCTTGATACCACTCTGTGTTTTAATGTCATCTTTATTTTTTTTAGTAACAAATATTACCACTCTACGAGATTATTTTTCTGCAAAAGAACCTTCTCCTTAGGAATCTTCCTTTTATTGTTATTATTGTTGGTATAATCAGTTTAGGAATGCATACATGAGTTACTTCGATAATGTATATGATAAGTAGCTTCTGCAGTGGTTTTGAAATTTTTTGTTATCCAAGCATATATTAGCTACCTGTAATGCTCCTAAGCTAGTTAGGGGTGTTACATTTGGTTTGGTGTCGTGTAAATTTAGGAGATAACTTGTTGATGACTCCCCTTAATAATAATCGATTGTAATTTGTAACTTCAGTAACAAACTGGAAATACAATTTTGATTCTCGACCTTCTGAGTGTAGCTTTGCATAAACATGATAGTTGGGTTGCTAGGGTGTGACGGGATTGTTAATTTGTTGAGTGAACTGCCAATCTGGTCGCATCACATAAACTACCTTTTCAAACAGACTATTGTATATAGAGTTTTTTTATATGTGTGTGTGTGTGTTGGTGCTGTTGGGTATGACTCATACTTCGCATGCTGATGATGGCCCTAATTATCGGGGTCAGCAGAAAGGCAACTGGGGTTCTATTTTATTGTAATTTTCTTAGCAGTTTGGGCTTGGGCCCATGAATAGCTGTTGTTAGGGTTTTGTAATCCTATTTATATTTGCCTTGTAAACCGAGAGACTTGTAACGAGTGGCGGTGAGGTGAATATAGTACAGACAAGCTGGACGTAGCCTAAATTGGGTGAACCAGGGTAAATCACTGTGTCTATTCTCTCTCTCTCTCTCTCTCTCTCTTTTCCGTTTTCGATTTGTGTGTTGTCGATTTCCAACAGGTGCTGGTTCATTAACCTGTTGAATTTTTATTTGAATTTGGTTTGATTTATAGCTAGATATGTCATCTACTGGACCTGAAGCACCAGTCTCACAAGAAATTTCATCTCAACAATCATCTCAAAGAAATCAACACAAGGGAAAAACTGATCCAAGTTGGGCACACTGTAAACAACGTGTTGAAGAGAATGGAAAAACTGTTCTAATATGTCTTTATTGTGATAAGATAATCAGGGGAGGCGGCATCAATCGACTTAAGATTCACTTGGCAGGAGAAAAAGGGCAAGTTGAATAATGCAAGAAGGTTCCAGCAGATATTCGTTTTCAAATGAAGCAAAATATTGATGAGGGCAGGAACAAAAAAAGAAAAGTTCAAGAGGAATATGAAGATAGTAATCCATTAGATGAAGATCAAGTGAGAGTAGTTGATGAAGTGCCACAAAATCCATCAAGAAAAGCACCTTCTACATCTCAAAAGGGGAAGAGTATTAATCCTTTAGGTTCTTATTTTATGCCTAGAACAACTCCTGGAGCTCAACCTGGCATAAAAAATGTGTTGCAAAGTAAAGAAGTAATGGAGAAGTGTGACCTTGCAATTTCCAAATGGATGATTGATGCTGGTGTGCCATTTAATCCTGTTAATTCATCATATTACCAGCCAATGATTGATGCTATTTGTAGCAAGGGTCCAGGGTATAAAGGTCCAAATTTTTATAGAGTTCGTGGTCATTTGTTAAATAAGTGAGTTGGAGAAGTCAATAAACTTGTTGAGAGTTATCGCACTGTTTGGAAGCAAACAAGATGCACTATTATGGCAGATGGGTGGACTGATCGTTGTAGGAGAACTCTTATCAATTTTCTAGTTTACTGCCCAAAAGGAACTATTTTTCTCAAGTCGGTTGATGCTTATAATGCTTCTAAAACTGCAGATTTCTTGTATAAGCTTTTTAGAGATGTAGTGTTGCATGTTGGCCCTGAAAATGTTGTTCAGATTGTGACTGATAATGCTGCAAATTATGTTGCTTCTGGAAGGTTATTGGAGGCTGAGTTTCCTAAGATTTTTTGGTCTCCTTGTGCTGCTCATTGTATAAATGTGATGTTACATGACATTGGGAAGCTAGAGGAAGTAAGTGTTGTTGTGTCTCATGCTGCCACAATTACCAAATACATATATAACCATTGTCATCCATTGCATTTGATGAGAAAATATACAGGTGGAAGGGAAATTCTTCGTCCAGCTCCTACTCGTTTTGCCACTAATTTTATTGCATTACAAAGCATATTGGCTCAAAAAGATGCATTAAGGGCTATGGTAACTTCTAGAGATTGGACAAGCTCAACTTATTCTAAGGAGGCCAAGGCAAAAAAATTTGTGGAATAAGTTTTAGATTGTAATTTTTGGAAACAATGTGCTGAGATTGTGAAGCTTACTGAGCCACTTATTCGCGTGTTACGTATTGTTGACAATGAAAACAAACCTGCCATGAGTTTTCTTTATCAAGCTATATTTAAAGCTAGAGAGGAGATGATAAAGAGATTTCAAAGAAACAAAAAGAAGGTGGAACCTTACTTGAAAATCTTAGATCGTCGTTGGGATTCACAGCTTCGCAAAAATCTTCATGCTGCTGGTTATTTGTTGAATCTAGGTTGTCGTTACAATGATGAAGAATTTGAAAAACATAAGTTCACAACATCAGGCCTTTTGGATGTCATTGAGAAATTTGCTTATGCAGATCCTGATTTAAATTCTAAGTTGACAAGTGAGATGAGAATATTCAAAAATGCTGAGTTAGATCTTGGAAGGCCATCTGCTAAACACGAACGAAATACCGTGATGCCAGGTAAAATTTATCATTGATATCTTTTTTTATGAGCATTAATTCTTATTATTGCTGAATAATATTAATACTAATTTATTTTATCACATGCAATATTCTAGATCAATGGTGGGAATCTTATGGATGTGGTGCACCAAATTTGCAAAAATTGGCTATTCGTGTTTTAAGTCAAACATGTAGTGCTTCGAGTTGTGAACGCAATTGGAGTGCATTTGAACATATTCATTCGAATAAGAGAAATAGATTAGAGCACCAAAAGCTTAATGATCTTGTCTATGTCCGTTACAACTTGAGGCTGGCACAAAGGTATTATTGAGTATTTACTTTTTTTTATATAATTATTTCTCCAAGTATTTCTAATGTTGAAAATTGAACAATTTTTTTTTTGTATGCATAGGAATCGATTGAAGAATCAAAACTATGATCCAATAAATTTTGAAACATTTGAGGACCATTCTAATTGGGTACTAGAGGATTCACCACCATACTTAACAGCTGAAGAAATGGAAACCTTACGGAATGAGCTTGCAAATATGTCCATTCAACCAACTCTAGATGATAATGGTGTGTTTACTTATTGTTCTATGATTATTTGATTGTTTGATTACTTCATGTTAATAACTAACTTACAATAAAAAAAAAAATATTTGTTTTAGATCAATTAAATTTGGATGATGATGATGATGAAGATGAGGCACAAGACAACACCATAGAAAATGCAAATCAAACTGAAGGCAATGTTGGTCAAGCTTTGGATTTATTTGATGAAGGAGGAGATGATGAATTAATTGACACAACTTTGCCTCAGTGGGCATAATTATATGTTTTTGTGCTAGTAATTTGATTTGTTTGTTTTCTCTTATATTGACAAGAGTTATTGTTCTAAACTTGTGATAGATATTAAGTGTTTAAGAACTAGACAAATATTATATATTTCTTTTATCTTTTGTTGGACAATAATATATGATTTATTGCTTTTTAAATTAGAATATTTAGAATTAGTATTTTTTTTACAGGTATTTGAGTATAAATTACAGGTTTGCATATACTTATCGGGTCATGCGGTTGAACCAGTGACCCACTGGTTGACCCAGTGACCCAGTGATCCAGTACCTTGACTGGGTCGATAACCGGGTCGAGTTTAATAACATTGGGTGAAACTCTAACTCGAAAACCCAGCGACTATAGTTATAACACCGATAAGGTAATTGTTGCAATTTGTTGATTGGCCTTCAATCTTGAAATTTAATTTCAAGGCTAAACATATATAAGGTTTGGAACACGTTATGGAATACTGCAACTTGGTTGTTTGATTTCCTGGATAAATAAATAGTCTATTGAATGCTCTCAATTTTCGCTAAGGTATGGAAGCCCATAGTCATATTTTTTTTATGTTTGTAGAAATAGCCAACACACATAAAATAAATAATGGTGGTCTGTGTATTTTAAAATTTGAACATGGATAACAACCCAATAACATACTTCCTTTGGTAGTGGATATTTGAGTTTGTGGATATTTGTTACTATCTACTTGTAATAGAATTGAATTTTAAATTCTTATGAATAGTTTTTTTCTCTTCAATCATCGTGAAACAAAGTTTTTACATTTGATTTACTTGTTAGCCTGACAGTTTGTATATTGATTACAATTTGTTTGGTTTTGTAATAGTATAACAGTCAATCAATTTGTTATGAATATTTATTAATTTTCGAATTTACTTTGTCTATAAATTAGTCATTAATTTTTTAATGATCTTATGTTTATAATAATTTAATATACGCTTGTATATGTGGTGCAACGTTACTTCAAGAATGTGAAATCATAATTGAAAGTAGATATATAATATGAATTCTTTTTCTTTTTTTTTTGGTATCCTGATATATAATATGAATTCAATTATGAAGTTTGTTCGGTGGCGAGATTTATAAATTATTGTCGTGAAACATATATGATAGTTTGAGCTGCTGGATTACAATTATAGAGGATGAGTAATGAAAGGCAAATAATATTTTTAATATATTTTCTATTTAATCATTATTTTTATGGGATAAATATTAAAAAAAAAAAAGAAAAAGGAGGAATTTATATTAAAAAATCAATTTGATATATTTTGCAACAAATGTTGATGTGACTTGGAAGTTGTTATGATATAGTGTTGATTGCTCTCAGCTTCTGTTGCTCGTTCTAATATTTTTGTTTATTGAGGTGCATGCTTCCCCTTGAATTGATTAAGTGCAAAATTTGCATGGGAATGCCATTATTTGTAATTCATGATCAGTATAGGTGTTGCACTTACTTGTGGACTAGATCACGGTTTTGGGCATGTGAATGATATTATATTGAAACATATTAATGTGCAAGAATTTTCATGAATTATTATAGGTAATTACCACCAAAGTAAGATTCCTTATATTGATTTGTGAAAATTTCTTTGTAAAATTTGAGGAATGAATTTGGTTATTTTATGCAATTTCTTGCCCAAAGGAGATAATTGTATGTTATAACTGTGAATTTGTTTGGGATTATGTTAATGGAGGTGCATTGGTCTAGATGATATGTCTGCCTAAAGGGGACACATCTCTTAACCGTGTATGCTCATTGAGGAAATTTTATTTGAAGTTGTAGATAAAGTTATTGGAGGCTCATTGAGCTAGAGATCTATCTGCCCAAAAGGGATGGATTTTCGAACCCAATGTGGTGCTCATTGATTAATTCATCTGAGGTTCTGACCTTAGTTTATACCTTGGTTTGTGCATTCTGTCCAAAGAGAAATGTACTATTATGCTGGCCTTGTTATGACAACCTATTGTGCTAAATTATTAACTCATCCTTAGAAACTTCTTCTTGAGATTGTAGATGAAGTTATTGGAGGTTCATTGGTCTAGGAATCTATCTGCCCAAAGGGGATAGATTTTCAAACCCAGTGTTGTGCTCATTGATTAACTCATCTGAGGTTCTGACCTTGGTTCAACCTTGGTTAGTGCATTCTGCCCAAAGGGAATGTACTATTATGTTGGTCTCATTATAATACCTTGATTGAATGAAAGGTGTATATTGTTCTTTAGTTTATTCTGATGCATACCTGTTTTGCCTTAATAATGAATTTCTATGTTAGTTTCTTTAAGTAGATTTGAAAACATGTTTGATTCATTTTGAAATGTTTATTTTAATTTTTTATATACATAATTATTTATTTGTAATTATTTGCTCTCATTCATATTTTATTTTGTGAGCTCTTATTCATGTTTAATTTCGTGATAAATATTTATGTTCTTTTTTTAAAATTTTAATTAATAAAAAATTGTTACATATTATGGTCATTATTATGTTAGTTCTTAGTCTTCCTAATTATGCATATATTTTATGTAGTCTTTCAATTAAGTTTCACTAGTGAGCCAAAGTGTATAATTGTTCATGTTCAGCATGAGAATTTTTATATAAATTGTAGTTTGGAGAATGCAATATAAATTTTGGAAATGTATGTTATAAAGTTATTCATATTATTTTGAAATTTTTATTTCTAATCTTATTTATAAATTATGAGAGTTCTTTAACAATATAAATTGTTACTTGCATAAAGGGGATCATTGTATGCAACAAATTTTGAAACTTATATGGAGATAAATAATAATATATATATATATATATATATATATATAAATAATGTGAAGTAATTGTTAACTATTACTCTGCCCAAATGATAGTTTATTATATGCTAATTATTTCGTTAAAATTACTTCACTGCCCATAATTAATATAATTGTATTTATGTAATAAATATACTTTTGACATGAACGATAACAATGTCATAATAGAATTGTTGATTGGATTGAATTGTGATTAATTAAGATAAGATCTTGATTTTTATTTCCCTTTTTATGAATTTTGATCTTGATAGGACATTGTATCTTAGCCTATAATTAATGTACAGAATATACTTGACGTGTTTTTTAGTAGGAGAGAAATGATTAATTTTGTGTGATCTTGAAGTTATTGTCGAGTCAGTAGAAGATAATTGCTTAGTTTTTAATGTCAGGATATGAGTTTATTTTGAAATGAATTTTCTATAAGGTTTCTTTGAGAAGGATTTTGAATTCTATATCCCCTTTTAAATCAACATGGATTTTATTTTACATTAATGGTGATTTGATGAGGTAGTGACTTTCTTGAGCTATGATGAAAATAATTTCCGTTAATATATTTACCATAAGGTCAGTGGGAGAAAAGACTTTTTTCTTGTATTGTATGTGGATTACTTAGTTATTGAGAATGTTAACTGACTCTCTAACCAAAGGACTTAGGCTCGTGATATTTGAAATGCATGTGAAGAACATGTGGATTGTGAGTCGGTTTGATGTACTTGGTTAGTGGGAGTTTGAGTTCTTTGTTATTTGCTTATCATGTTGAATTGTTTATTACAAGCATAATTGATATTTGGTTGATATATAAATCTCTTACAGAGCAATTGATAAAGCATTGAATTTTGCTATTGTATATATTGTATATTTGTGTTTGTGTTTATCAATTGTGAAATATTAGAACTCAGTGTCGATGGGACCACCATGCCTATGGTTGATACTGTATTGGAGTTTGAGGCATGATTTTGGAACTCAGTGTCGTTGGAACTATCATGTTTGTGGTTGAAACTATATGGGAGTTTGAGACATAATGGTGTTGTTAGGACTACAGGGCCCGTAGCCGACACCATATTTGATTATATGATGGTTTTTTGATAAACCATGGAATTTCTCCGGCTTTAAGGAATTTGAGAGAAATTTGAGGACTGACAGAGAAAATAGCAGTTTGGTTGTTGTTGGATCACATTGGCATGTTATTTTCTTGCTATATTCCGCACTAATGACTAGTCGACGGAGCCAAGTAACATTTGTGACCATAGAAGGTCTTATATAAGTAAGGGTATAATCACCGCCTGATTCAATGTTATTTGATTTTAGTTGGATAGAGTCATATTCATATATCACATCTTGGATCATGTGTTTTCTTAAAATGTGGCCACATTATAAGAATTAGTCCTTAGTCCGAAAGTCGTTTTCAAATAACTTGTTTTTCTTTTCTCTTTTAAATTAAAATTTAACAATTGATTTTGCCCAAGTGGGAGAATATTAGAAATTTTTATAATAATTGTGGGCTTCAATCAATTGTAGTTTTTCTTATTTTTAATAAAAAAACGGGCTAAGTCATGATCAATATGGGGTGCAGTATAAAGCCCATTTAATTAAGTGATCCTTTTGTTTGGGCTTGGATATCTGTAAACTGATTAGTGTGGATAACAGTGTAGCCCTAATCCATAGGCCCATGATGGGAAGGGGACTAGGGTTAATAAGTTTCGCTAGATCCTCTCTGCATTCACAACGTGTTAGAAAACTGTTACTCCGCAACTCGCCCCATCGATAGTTGTGATCAGGGAGTGGTGTGAATTGCAGAGAAAGATCCTAATCTTTCCATTGCAGGAGCATTAGAGGAAACAAGAAGCCTTCAAGAAATCAAGAATCATGTCTTCAACAAGTAAGCCTAAATCTTTTGGTGTTCTAATTTCATATAATCTCATATTGACATTTCTTACGGACCAATTATGATATATTTATAAAAACAATATGAAACCAATAAATTAGAGTGAGAATATGGCCTAAAATTCTCTTCTTTCTAACTAGAATTTCCAATGAACAAGTTGGTGCTCCAGCGAAAAAATTAGGGTGAAAACTGAGAAGCGGCTCAAAGAGCAAAGAAAAATCTCAACCATTACTCCTTCTTCCTCTTACTATGTTCCACTCTCTATTCTTCCCAAAAATTTACAAAGTCATATTTCACCATTTAAAGTACCAACTTCTCAATCTTCTCAGCCCACTATTGCTTCTTCTTCATCCAACAATGCACTGTCCATTAGAAATGTGGCTTCCATACTCAAGAGAGGTGAATTGAATATTACAAATTTTTTACTAAAGCCCCTTCTAATTTCTAAGTTATCATTTCAAGAAAACTTTAATATATGAAAAGTTAATCAATACATTCAAACAATCCATAACATATAATATATCATAATTATAAAGCCTATGCTAGCACATACAAGATATCAAAGAAGCAATTAAAGTGCTATAAATAAAGAGTGAGGGTTTAGAAAAATTCAAACTCAATATATCTTGATTCGCTCACTACCACTTGTGACCTACATGCAGATTGAAGCCGATCGATCAATTATTTCACTATTCGTCAAGCTTCACGGGTGCTTGACAAACCACTATAACCTTCCAAGACTTCAGGCTCTCGAATGTCTTTCACTCCAAATTTACTTAGGTATTTGTATACCTCTCAAATACAATGGATCTTACAACCCTCTCAACTTAAGAATACAAAGGGTGAAGTGTTTGGAAATAAATATACACTCTCAAAGTTTGGATATACAATTTGAAGCACTATAGGTATATGGATTTTCAAGATATGAGCTCAAATATATTTGATCTTTGAAAAATATGAAAAAATATGCAAATGATAGTGTAGAAGCTCTCAAAGTATGCTTAAGATATGTAAAAATGATGTCCAACACGTTTTAGAGTCATTGGGAATACATATATAGTGTTTCCATTGAAAACTAGTTGTTTATAGCCATTATAAACATTTTGTAATAGTATTTCCATGTGCAGGTAATCGATTCCCAACCTAACAACAAGAATATTGTTTCGTATTTTAGGTATAACTTGAGCTATTCTTGTCGGATTGATATGATCTTGATCTTATTAGAAAGATAAAAGAAAGATCTACAACTTGTATTAGAACACAAGATCCAAATACATCATCTTGGATGAGAAAAATTGTCCAAAAAATGGAAACCAAATTATGCAGCAAATTTTAAGTTCAAATGCTTTCTAACTTACTTCCAACCATTTTTTATGAAAGATGTTGACTTGATAAATATGTTTTGAAGTTATAAAACATGTTAAGGATATTTTCGATGGATTTTTCAAAAAAAATTCAAGTATATAAAGGTTTTGGATTATGTAATTTGAAAAACATGTTTACTTTTAGCTTGCAATCTACCATATACCCTTACAATCATATATAAGTCATAAAAGTGTATTCTAATAAGGAATTAAATTTAGCTTCTTGTGTTGATTCTTATATCTTGATCCTTATTTGAAATTGATGTTTTGACTTGTTGAATATGACAATGCTTGGTATTTTGTTTGTTTTGATCCTTTTTCATCATGGTTATGATATTGAGCTTCTCTTAGATGTTGTCCATGATTTGTTGTCTTTGACCTTGGTGTTGCTCTTCTAATTATTCCTTATTTATCTTGATCCAATGATCTTGCCACTTTGATATGTCATTACTTTTCTTGTGTGGCTACACCATACATCTTTAATATCCACATATGGTTGACGTTTTTGCTCTTGGTCAATGTTCTTCTCTTTTTGTTGTTGCCACTTTGTTATAATCAAAATATACCCTGTATCTACACTGTCACACCTCTTGTTAGCATAGAAACTACTCCAGCCCCTATTTTGGACACTCCATCTTTTTATCTACCTTCTGTTGCCACTGAAGTCCATTATTATACAGAGGTTCATTCTGATTCCTCCTCTACACCTTCTAGTTTACCCTCCTCTAATATTTGAAGCTCATCTCCTTTGAGTAGTTTGTACGAGATTATAAATTTAGCTTTCAGTGCAATCTTTATATTAAACAAAGATTTCTGTTAAAAGAAATCAAATGCTCATCATAAAATCAAAAGAGATTGGGTAGATCTCGATCTAGACATCTAGAGTTATGGTATCTTCCTTATCTCGTTATATTTTATGATTTTATGGAAGTACTTTGCTTCGAGTTTTATTTCATTTGGATGTTCTCTTTGACTCTCGAATTCAAGGTTAAAGTCATTTAGGGGGCGTTTGGTTCAGGAAATTTTTTTAGAATAGTAGGGAAATGAGATAGATAGAGAAATGTTGGAAAGATAGATAAAGTGAGATAGGTAAAAAAATGTAAAAAAAAAATGTTTGGTAAGGAAAAACTTTACTGGGAAAATTAGGTAACTTTATGAAATCAACAGTGCATTAAAAGCCAGATAACCGGTTTTCCGAAAAATCTCACCTTCAAATTGGGTTTCTAAACAGTGCGGATATCTATGTTTCTCATAAATCCAGACAAATTGGATAGATGAATTTTTGGTGAAAAACGTTGAAACAAACATGGTATTTTTAAAAGCCGTACTTGAGAATGATAGATATCTGCTAAAAAGCTCCCAACCAACCCCACCTTATGGATTCTGTTGGGTTTTTGGATATCTATTCAACTTTAACACTCGTCTCTTTTCAACCAAAAATATGTAGATTAACATGGGTTCATTTCGAAGGGAGAATGATACTACTTCAACTGTAACTTCTTTTTTTATCAATTAATAACTTTTAGTTGCAAGTTTGAAACTTTTTAATTAACCTTGTTACTTTTGTCTGAAAAATTATAGACTTATGACAAAAAATTACAAATTCATGAATAGGAAGTTATAAAATTTACAATAAAATTACAAACTCATGAGAAAAAAAAAGTTCCAAACTTATTGAAGTTGCATGGTATTTTTTTTTTTTTTGGAGGAAGTTGCAAAATATATATTTATGGGAAAAAAAATGTGTCAGTTTAAATGACACCTCTTGTATTATTTTACTCTCACAAAAAGGTGAAACTTATACCTTTAAAATTTTTTTCACTCGCTTTCCCTTCCATGATCTATCTCTTTCTCTCACTTAAAATGACACAACTTTGTGTCCTTTAAAATAATAAACATTTTTTCCTATATTTATTTCTTGATAACTTTACCAAATGAAATATATATTTATTTCTTGATATCTTTACCAAATGAAATAGAAAGAATATTAATTGAATAATAATAATACTCTGAATGTTTTAATAAAAAATGATTTAATTCAATATATTCATATTTTCTTATAACTAAAATTAAAAATGTTTAATGACTTTCTTTATGTACAATTATCTCCCAAAATATTTTGAAACAGTAAGTCATTTCATCCCATATATGTATAATTGTTAGGAATAATTTCAAAATTGTTGATGTGTTTTTACCTTCACTATTTTTGTCAAACTTAAACAACACCAAATGAGGTTCAGGATGAGTAATTACTATTCTTTGCAAAAGTATACAATGACCCAATGTGAAATACAATTTATACATGCTAGATTTAATTGTACTTAACCCACATTGAGTACTTAATATATGAAAATTATTTTTTTAGTAGTCACCAAGACAGGCTATTCGCTGTCTATCTATCTAAGGACAAGGAACATAAAGAACCTGGCATGATACAAATCAACATAATTTCCGGACACCAGTATACATGGGAACACACAAATCACATCCATCGTCAATGCCCAAGATGTCACTCACAAAAAACCATCTCACTATTGCTAGAAGCGCTAGGTATACAAGTATTTCTGATAGGTGGAAATATGAGCATCTCCACAAAAGTCTTCAATCTAAATGCATGTTTAAGATTCCTGCCTAGCTAGACATCATGACATGATCAATTGCGTGAATTGCTTGATTGGAAAAAAATCTTACATCAACATCAGGATCCTCGCTGAGCTCAACCAGACATGGACGGATTGTCTTTTCCACATCCTGAATGGAAATTGAATCCACAGAATAAGAGTGGAAGTAAAAGGAAGCAAAGGAGGTATATGAGGACAGAAAACACAAGAAATGTTTATAATAATACAATAGAAATATGAGATGCTTAGTTGCTTACAGATTGATCCACTATGGGGAAGATGGACTCTAGGACCTTTGCCACATTGAACTTAATGTTGGGAACTCTACACCGGAGCAAACAGGCAGCAAAGCTGATTATATTGATCATTAGCCTATAGCGTAATCATGCTTAAAAAAAATAAAAAATACCTGTCTTTTGAAGCAGCAATAACAACAGGCAATAATTTTGAACGAGTGATTTCAGAGCCCATCACAGGAGCAAGCAGAGAGATAGCATGAAGAATGGTCATTCGATACAAATAATGTGGATTGCTAATCATCTCCAAAACCTGTATACCATGAATGCCCATACTGTTACTTGTAAGTTATATATATTAGGGAGCTCACCAGACAAGTAATAGTATAGTAGATCAAAGCGAATATTTCAACATGCGTTTTAGACCCTAACGAAGGGGTATAACAAACCCAAGAGATTATGTTACAGTGGAACTGGCAAAAAGAGCTTTAACAGAGGACAGAAGAAAGGTTGGACAGAAAGAAACCACAAATCCGAGCTTTGTTCAACTGAAATTCCCAATATATGGATATCTAACCCCAAAATCATTTGTGTAAGCCAAATAACATAGAATGCAAGAAAAAAATCTTCATTAACTACTTTTAGTAGCCGGAGCCCAAAGGTGAAATTCCTATGTTCATCATAATTATTGATCTTTTATACATGACTTCATATTTAAAAGTACCAGGAAAAACATATAATTCCATTACTCCAATACTGCTTTTACAGGAACTGGTATGCTTAAACTGAAACAAGCTTGGCTAAGACAAATGCAAGCTTCTTAGATCTCAATCTAGCCGAGTGACAGTGGAAAATGTTCACCATTTCCCCATCAGTGCTTCAATTCACACTCATAATCATTTGACACTCCAATTGAGTGAAGCATTGATCTTGACTGAGATACCATGCTTAAGAACCTCAATGCCATTTTCAAGCAATTTCCATTTTTTAATGTTAAACCAAAGTGAAGTCATTACATCAAAGAATTGGTTACTTGAATATAATTCTCCAAGTGAGCTCATACAATTTACATCCAAACTATTTAATACAAAAAAGCTGCAAAAATGACAATCCAGCACAAAAGAACTCTTAAGATCTATCAGCTTCTCTGCAAGCTATAATTTACTGACAAAAACTTGGTTCTATACATACCCATCACAAGGTTCTTTCTTCATCCACAATGGTTTATGTAATTTTCTAATTTTCATCACATTGTAAGCAATGAAATGCATCCAAATCAAAGTATAAAGCAAAACACGTATAGGAAATTAAAAAAGAAGGTACAGATACACTCAGCCACACAAACACATACATAAATAGAGACATGTTGTACTATGCTAAAATAATAATATAAGCCAACAGATGAACCTGTGGAATTATGTGCTGCATAGCCCACTCAGGACCAAATTCTTCTGCCAGGCGCTTCAAGTTGTTAGCAGCTGCTTCGCGAATTGAATGAACCTGTGACAAACAATAAGGACGTTAATAAACTCATTTGAAAAAAGTACATCCCTAAAATCCACTCAAACTAGTAAGGAAGTAGAGTCCACCAACCTTGTCCTGTAACCACTGCATGCAAAGAGCACCAAGCTTGTCATCGAAAAACCCAACCCCCAATTGACTTGCCAATAAGGGTATATACTCGATTATTGCAAGCCGAACCCTCCAATGCCTATCCTCGGCAAGCTCAACAATAGCTGGTAACAAAGATTGAGATAACAAATCGATTCCAATAACCTGCAAGAATAACTTTATCAAGATGACTTTGAAAAATTTTCTTTTTTTATGTTTTTTTCTTGTATGTGAGTAGAGGGTAGCATGCAGGCACAAGGCCATAAGCTTTATTTGCTAGAGTTAGTAGCACCACAGGAGAAAAAGAAAAAAGAACACAGTTTGTCAAAAGAATATAAAGCAATTTACAGATAAAAACCACTCCTGAACTATAAACCTGGTTCACTTGATCAAGCTTGCTTATGATATTTAGGCGCACATCAGGAAATTCATCCTTCAAAAGGGAAAGGAAAATAGGAAGAAGTTGCTCGATTGTTGCATCCTGCAATGACGAAAAGGAAGAATAGGTAGTAGTTTCTCGAACATTTTGAAGAAAAAGAAAAAATGTTAAAACAACCCTGCCATGGCATTAGTTGCAGAAGCAAAACTATCACAACCCAATATAAATTTCTTAATACCAGCTAAAGAAAGAAGTCAGATACAAAATAACCACCCAAGGATAAAAATATTCAGATTGATCATAAATTTTAAAAAAACTAAGGAATGATAGGCGGAACAAAGAATGACACAAGAAACATCGATAACATTCACATAGGTTTTAACTCTATAGTTGACACCTTTGCCAGGGTACAAGGACAGGATATGTAACCTAAATTTGACAGTGAGGCTCTTTCTTCTCTTTATTACAGGCTGGGAGGGTGGGGAGATGAAAATTTATAGGGTGATTCTGGTTAACTACTGCACAGGCCAATCAACTACAATCTCCAAATCCACTTGCAAAGGACAATATTATTTTTAAAAAAGGACAAATCTCAATACAATGCTGTTCTTAGGTCTAATTGCCTACACACCACAATCCAGGTAATTCACATGTGAAGATGCAATACATAAGACCCAAAGCACTAAATGATGTCTCCATCTCAGTTTAGATGAGAGGAAAAAGGAGAGAAAGGGGGGGGGGAGAGGGGGGGGGGGAGAAGCAAGAATAGACTCCAGTTTTTCTGAGTTAGGCACTGAACGACAAATTGAATAATTTGAAGGACAACCAACAAAAATTTAACCATGTATGATAGGGATAATGACCTTTTGTGCTTTAGACCAAAATAACTGCAAAGAATGCCATTTGACATTTATACCTTTCCTAAAACCGGAGCCATTCCCATTATTACTGAAGCCAAAGCAGAGCGAACATGCTGAGAAGAATCTGATGACAATTCCTGCAAAAGTTGTAGCAAAGCATTTAAACCTGTAAATATAAATTTGAGAATATACTAAATTGCAAGACAAAAATTAAAGAGGCGCTCACCTTCACACAAGGAAGAATATGCTGAATTGCAAGATCTGGATTTAAAATCCGGCAAAACTTTGTCACTTTCCCAGCAGCTGCTATCCGTACTTCGGCTTCGTTGTCTCGAAGCAACCGCACATAAGCAGGGACCAATTCCATTCTTCACAAACAATCATCACGAGAGAAAATCTTAAGAAACATAAAATAGATATACTGATAGGACATTGAATCCGGAACTTAGTAAACATAAGTGGAAATCAATATAGGAGATTTTGCATTTAAAGTTTCAAACCATTAGCATGACTGGCCCAACCAGTGAACACAGCTCATAATACACAATATATTAAAATAATATAGTCATGAGTTATATGATACACAGATATACAGCATGTTTAATATTCAGCCAAAACAAAATACCTGGTAGGTTCAGGGCCAACAGCTTCACAGAGCTCATACAATTGATTTGCAACCATGTAACGCACACGCCAAGACTTATCCTGTTTCAGGATCAAATCAAATCAGACCAAATAAAAAAGTAATAAATAAAATGAAAAAAGGTGACCTAGTATGATGGACAACATTCCACATATATATAAATTCAGGCATAACAAATTAATAAGGGTGTGTTTAAGAGTTGGGAGGATAAGAGAAGGAACATATCCAAGGAAAAATAAGGGGAAGGGAAGAGACTGGGCAGGTTAAATCATGCTTTTCCTTATTCATGTAAGAAGTTTAAAATACACAAGGAAATAGAAGGTAAAAATTAATGTGTGTGTGTGTGTGTATAATACCAATTTACAAATTCACTATTTATTAATAAACTATTACAATAACATTATATTTCAACCATGATATTTTGATGAAATTTAGATATAATTTTTTTGCAACTATTTAGATATATTTTTAAGAGTATAGTCATGGTGGTTAGTATTGTGCATCATGGATGTATCATTTTTGTCAAATTACTGTACTGCATCAAATCAAGTATATCTTAAGATATTTTGATAAATAAAACTACCAAAAATTATATGTATCATTATAGTACAGTATCTGGTATATGAATGGATAAGAATATATTATTACTAAATAATTTTCAATCTCTAGATAATAAAATACCAATCAAATTTGGTGGGTTGCACATGGGACTTATAAGAGATTGACACTAGTCATTTAACCAGGACCTCATGCTTTCAATAGAAAGAAGTGTACAGAAAAGAACAAAAACAGAAGAGAGACTGTGATCTCTGATCAAGAAAAATAATAAAATAAGGGTGGGGGACTAGAATGAAGAATTATGTAGTCTTATTTTTAAAGTTATAAGTACAACAAAACAAAGCAAATATGGAAGAACAGTTATTGGTCCCAGCTCTTACCTCCTAGTCAAAGCTGATTAAGAAACAAGCGTATATCTCAAACACAAGAATCCAAGGCATGGATATTTATAAGAGCCAATCAACGGTGCAAAGAAAATATGTAATAAATATATAATGCCACTGTTCTCATCCAAATTTTTTTTCATGATGTTTTGCAAAATTAAAACATGGTTGTCTCTGTTTGTTTGCAAGACATCAAAAGTTAAGATTAATAGCACTTATTATGGAAATTTTTTAATTCAAACTATTGGATAATAGGCCTGTATTATGCAATACACAGGATAAGGCTAGGTTGTTTTTGTTTCTCTTCGCTAGCTTTTAGATGATTTCTGATAAAGTATATGGCATGGTGCTATTTAGAAGATGTCCTTTTAAATAAGTATTCTAGAACATTCTTACAAAAGAAAAACCAAAGAAAACAAGTAGCATAATATAATTTGAGCATGATGAAGAAGAAAAATTAATTATATGATTATTAATAGTTCTATCCACTCCTAAAAATGCACCTGCGAGAAGTTAACAATAACCGGAAGTATATGTGCGACACAATCTTGTGGCTCCAACAACTTGCCAAGAGCAGCACAACCCTCCACAGCCAACAATCTAACAGAGTCTTGTTCTGAACCAAGTTAAAACTAAAATTACATATAGAAAAAAGAAACCACTTGCATTAAGGAAAATAGATTATGGAATCACGATTGACAAGCCCTTTCCATCTACAAAGAATGAGAAACAAGTATTCAATTACCATCCTTAGTAAGATCTTCAAAAATTGACATGACATCTGCCTTCAAATGAGCATACTCAACAGTTGCAGCAAACTTCCCAAGATTTGAGGCAGCAGACCTTCTAACCATTGGCATGTCATCTTGACACAACTGACTGTATATTGACCTCAACTCTGTCTTTGACATATCTGGCGCACTTGGGTATGCAATATGAAATAGTCCACATGCAGAGACTCGGGCAGTGAACCATTCACCTGCTGCCAATCGCTGAAAAAAATCCAAAGCATATATTGGCCAGGAGGTTCAACCAGCAAAACAGATTTAAACTTCCAGCCTAACAGGATATATTCAACACATCATAACTGATGAATATGCTTTATGATACATGTAACCATTTAGCACCACCAAAGTGATAGATATTTTGGCCAAAGAGTGGTCTGACAAAAGGTAGATATGGGCATCATTTAAGTAGCTAAAATTACAGTGATTTAGGTACAGAAAGAGGAAAAGAGAGATATAATAGACCATGAATAACATTCTCTAGTGTATATGCTTGTGATACAAAAGACAAAGCATAACCCCTATTTATACTAGTAGTAAACTCTTAGTCCTAACCAAATAAATAAATCAGGATATAATGAAATATGGAAACCACTCTTAAAAAATCGTCAAAGATACCATAATATTCTAAGATAAACTATGCTTTAAGCTTGTTACAATAAAACATACTAAAAGAAAATACAAGAAAAACATATTGCTGTGGTAGGCGACAGAGTTCGGAATTAGACTGCATCTAGGACAAAGACAGGGCGGGGTGGCATGACTCAGTCAATATAAGTCACCATCAAAATGATCATCAACGGGAAGAAAAGTCACCACTAGTATGATTGTAACAAGCTTAAGCGGAAAAGATGTAACTTTATCATTTCTCCCCTTCAATGTTGGGCTGGCATTGGAAAAGAGACAAACAGTAACAAAAACAAAAATGACAATCCACAAAGAATGCAAAGAAACAGCCAAACACATCGAACCTGACAGAGAGAAAACACATGAGGTGAAGAGATAGAGAGTGCCGAAAAGAGAACATAGCAGGAGAGACGGCCAATCAAAAGGAATAAAATAATCATGGAAATAAAGTGGAGCTCCTGATTTTAGGGAACCGAGAAATAGAATATAGTATTGATATCTGGAGTGTAATGATACTGTTGGCCTAGGGTTTCGGTGGCAGATTTTGTGCACAGCCAACGGGAAGAAAAGAATCATGGAGATAACAATATCGTTATGGTAGAGTTCCAAATTTTAGGAAACTCAGCAGTGGAATAGTAACAAGACAGATCACAAAGGATGGTACCACTCTAATACCATATTGAATTATAGGGATTTAAGCAGATAAAGAGGAAAGGAGAGATAAATAGACTATGAGTATTATTCTCTTGTGTATATTGATGTGATACAAATTACAAAATACCCAGATTCATTGACCAACCACTTTTTTGTTTCATACGAAGAATACCAAGTTGTTTATATTACAGGAAATAATTAAAATACCAGGAAAAGTAAATGAATGCGATAATCACTACCACAATAGAAACCAGGAACATGCATGAGCAAGGAAATTTTTAGGTACGAACATTCAAGATGGAGTTCAATATATGGTAATGATTAAAGCACTTAATCGATGAAATAATGTAATCTAACCTTCACCAAAGGGATGAAATACTCAACCAAATCACTCTCCCTCATTTGAGATCCAATTCTACAAAGTGATTCCACAGCTTTTTCTCTCACACATGTTTCCTCTACAGTGCAAAGTGTCTCCAAAGGTTGGAGCAACACATGGGCATGTTCCACTCCCCCAACAAAAGGAACAAATACCCCCAACTCTTCTGCCATCGCAAGAAGTACCTCATCATCATCATCATTATTCTCACCCAAAAATGGTATTAATTCCCTACGGGTTCGCTCCTCCCCAAGAGCACGCGCAATTGTTGATAGCTTGCGAATTGAGTTCAACCGCAGCTGGATGTCATCATTTTTCAGCTCGTCTATAAGCACTGCTATTGGATACAATGGCTCATCAGCCATCGACATCTTTTGTTTCCAAGATTTCTGGCAGAATCGGTTAATTCAAATTGTTAGAAGCTAAGTTAGTAGCTCAAATACAACCATAAGTTCTGAAAATAATAAATATTATTAGATTGTCAAACTCCCATAATTCTAATGTATAAATCTTTCAACTTAAGGGGGGAAAAAAACTTGATCTTTGAAACTAATTTGCATGAAACTATTTAATTCACAATAATTACTTTACTCTCAATTCAGGTTTTTTTTTCCTTTTAACGAAATGCCTACCGAAACCAAATCAAGAATTCAAAGAAATACAAAAATAAAAAGAAGCATGCCACAACCAACATATTTCAAGAGCACCTCGAAAAAAATATTAAAAAAATTGAAAATGTTGTGAAAATGACAAATCAGAAATCGTCAACAAAACCCTAGGGTTCAAATTAAGAAGCCAAAGAACAGAAAATCGTACCGTATCGCAGGATAATATCGATATCTTTCGATTTCGCTATATGCCGAAACGAAACTACGGAGGAATTGCAATATTATGTTGAAACGTTGGATAGAATCAAAAAGCGGTTTTAGTTATGGAGATGCTAAGCATGGCCACTGGTGAATGTGGAGGAAAAGAAAAAAAAAACGAAGGAAAATGCAACTCTGAAAACCCTAACCCTACGAAGGAAGAACGAAGAAGACTATAGCGGAAGCAGTTTAAGGTCCCAAGACCGAAGTCATCATTCTTTCAATTCTTGAGTTTTAAACGCACGATTCCATTAACTTTTCCTTGCTTTTCTTATCATAAAACAAACAACTTTATATTTACAAAACTTTTCAGTTTTAATTGTTGATTCTGTTAATATGATAATTATAATTTATTAAAAATTAATAATTAATTAATAAATATAACTAAATATATTATAATCGTTAAATTAATAAAAATTAATACCTAAAAATTTAATTGTAAGAGTTTATAAGTAAAAAAAAATTATAAATATAACTTCCCTCATATTTAATCTAAGAAATAACAAAAAGGTAAATAACTAATAATTATTGAAAAGCCCTAAATTATGGAATAAACTATGGAAAAGTCCAAAACTATTGATTCTCATGGCAACGCGACGAGTGTTGCTCAGAAGCCCATTTGGAGTTGGCTATCCAAATTTGAGCCTAACTCAAGTCAATCAGCTCGGGTGCATCATCATCCCCCGTAAGAAAAATATTTGTCCTCAAATTTGTTTCGTCTTCATTGATATCAACTTATTCAGGTGGCGACTCTTCTGTTACAAAATCATCAAATTCCTCGATTAATGGTAGAAACTTGTGAATGCAATTTTTTGATATGTTTGGTATGTTCATCTGCATTTGAATTAAATTGTTTGGGGACTAGAAATAATGTGAGTTCTAAGAGTGTAAGTGGACAAAATCCATACATTATTAAAAAGGATTGTTGCCTGTAGTTTGGTTTAGTGATCGCATCTGTGATCCGTCATAGGAAAATTATGCCCAAGGTAACATGAAGTCTTGTTGCCCCTCACCATCTCCAATTAAACTTCTACCAAAAGCTAAATTTTTATCTCCATGGAGCATGAGGTGTTATGCCCGTTGTGCCCAAGTTCATAATTTTTTTACAAACTAAAGATTGCTTGAATGAAAGATCATGACATCTTTGGATAAAACTTTAGTTTTGTTAGAGATATTAGAATTTCTAATAATTGACTTTTCGCCAAAATCACTATAAAGGATTTTTTCGCCTCTGGATTCTTATCGTCTTGCTCTCAATTACTTGAAAGAAAAGGGTATTTGAAATATTATTGAATTGTATATTAATCTGATACAAAGAGGTCTCTATTTATAGAGACTAAAAAACCTAATTCTTGACCTAATGGGCTTGGCCCAATACAACAAATACTAATTATAATAAAAGACCTAATATTTACAACACTCCCCCTCAAGCTGAGGAATAGATATTTATCATTCTCAGCTTGCTAGTAAGTTCTTGAAATCTATCTGAAGGAAGTCCCTTTGTCAATAGATCAGCTAATTGACGCCCAGTGGGAATGTATGGAGTGGTAATCAACCCGCTATCAAGTTTCTCTTTGATGAAATAACGGTCGACCTCAATATGTTTAGTCCGATCATGTTGAACTGGATTATGAGCTATACAAATAGCGGACTTATTATCACATAGCAGCTTCATAGGTCCCTCACATTTTATTTTGAGATCATCAAGTACAATTTTCAGCCACAGTAACTCATAAATGCCTTGAGCCATAGCTAGAAATTCAGCTTCTGCACTTGATCTGGCAACCACATCTTGTTTCTTACTTCTCCATGTCACCAAGTTACTGCAAAGAAACATGCAATAACCAGTGGTAGAACGACAGTCAGTCACAGATCCAGCATAATCAGTATCAGTGTAGACTTCTAAAGAGAGATTACCATCACGTCGGAATAACAATCCTTTACCAGGAGTAGCTTTAAGATACTGAAGAATTCTCTCTACTGCCTGCATGTGTTTCTCCTTTGGATCATGCATAAACTGACTGACAACACTAACAGCATAAACTAGGTCTGGCCAAGTATGAGCCAGATATATCAATTTTCCAACTAGTCGTTGATATTGTCCTTTATCAACTGGAGGACTCTCCTCTTCAAAGCCTATCTTGTGATTATGCTCAATAGGAGTATTAGAGGGTTTACACCCGAGCTTCCCTGCTTCTTTGAGAAGATCCAAAACATATTTCCTCTGACTGATAAAAATTTCTTTGCTTGAATGAGCTACTTCTATCCCTAAGAAATATCTCAATTTTCCAAGGTCTTTGACTTCGAACTCAGAGGCAAGTCGTGTCTGCAGAATCTGTCTCTCCATAAAATCATCACCTGTGATAATAATATCATCAAAAGAGTGTGATCTCCTTGACTCTGTCTATATCCTAAGGTCATCATAACCTTAGTAAACCTTCCAAACCAAGCACGAGGTGACTGTTTCAATCCATACAATGCCTTTTTTAATCGACAAACTTTATTTTCCCCCTTCACAGAATCAAAACCAGGCGGGATTTCCATATAGACTTCTTCTTCTAACTCACCATTGAGGAAAGCATTTTTCACATCAAATTGATTTATATCCCAATTGTAATGGGCAGCAAGGGACAACAAGATTCTCACTGTATTCATCTTTGCAACTGGAGGAAAGGTTTCTTCATAATCAATGACATAGGTTTGAGTGTAACCTTTGGCGACTAATCGAGCCTTGTATCTCTCAAGAGTGCCATCAGAATTATATTTCAGGGCATAAATCCATCTGCACCCTACTGCTTTCTTTCTGTTGGGTCTATCAATAACCTCCCATGTTTTATTTTTCTCCAACGCATTCATCCCCTCTTGCATGGCTTGAGCCCAATTCCCATCTTTCAAAGCTTCATGTACTGATTTTGGGATTGAAGTAGAATCTAGTGCTGAAACAAAGCTTTTGTGCTGCACAGAAAGATTAGCAGAGGAAACAAAATGGGAGATAAGGTATTGAGTACAAGAGGGACAGGAAGAACAAGTTTTCTTGGAACAAGATCTTTTTCCTTTTCTTAAAGCAATGGGTAAATCATCAGAAGCAGTAGTAATGGGTAAGTCATCAGAAGTATTAACATCATGATCAGAAATATGAGATTCAGGACTTACCAGTGGTTCAGACGATTGAGGTTGCTATTGAGGCAATGTGGGCTGTTCAGACGATTCAGGTGTTACAATCTTCCGTATCTCTGGTGTACTTGATGTATCAGTCATAGGAGGATCAGTCATAGGAGGATCAGACATAGACACATTAAGAACAGGAACAAGAGGAAGAGACACTGACACAGGTGAAGGAGTAGACACTGAAGATTCAAAGAAGGAAGGTGATGAGTCTTCTGGTGAATTATTCTCCCCCTGAAGATGAGGACCTTGGAAAAAGGACTCAGATTCCTGAAATGTAACATCCATAGAAACAAAAAATTTCCGACTTCCAGGGTGATAGCACTTGTAGCCCTTCTTATCAGAAGCATATCCAAGGAAGACACATTTAAGAGCCCTAGGATCCAACTTACTGCGATGCTGTTTATGAATATGAACAAAGACAACACACCCAAACACTCGAGGAGGAAGACTTTGCAAAGTTGGAACAGAAGGAAAAAAAGAAGTCATGGAGTGAATAGGACTTACATGATCGAGAACCCGAGTGGGTAGAGGATTGATCAAGAATGCTGCAGTAAGAATGGCATCTCCCCAATAGCATTTGGGTACATGTGTTTGAAACAGTAAGGCACGAGCAACTTCAAGAAGGTGACGATTTTTCCTTTCAGCAACCCCATTTTGTTGAGGAGTGTCTACACAAGTAAGTTCATGAATCATACCTTGATTTTGTATAAATTGAGAAAAAGAGTGTGATTGACATATTCAGTACCATTATCTGTCCTTAGTCTTTTGATTTTTTTACAAAATTGAGTCTCAATCATTTTATAAAATTGAAAGAACAGTTGTGGTACCCCAGACTTTTCACGCATTAAGTAAACCCAAGTTACACGAGTGCAATCATCAATAAAAGAAACAAACCATTTATTTCCAGAAGAATGAGGGACATTAGAAGGACCCCAAACATCAGACTGAATAAGATTAAAAGGTTCAACACTCTTAGTAATACTAAAAGGAAAAGACACACGATGATGCTTAGCAAATTCACAAACATCACAATGAAAAGACTCAACAGACTTAGACAAAAACAATGACGGAAATAAAGATTTGAGTAAACTAAATGGAGGATGACCCAAACGCTTATGATGCAGCCAAATTAAAGAATCAGCAATTGATTGACCATGAGACATGAAGGTGTGATCTGTTACTTTATTTGCGGGAGATTGTGACACCAGATAGTACAGCCCACCTTGCTCTTTAGCACTACCAATCGTCTTCCCCGTGGCGAGATCCTGAAAAACACAATGGGTAGGGAAGAAGGTTACAGTACAATTCAAATCTTTTGTAATTTTGTGAATAGAAAGAAGATTCGTGGAGAGTTTAGGAACATGAAGAACATCTTTAAGATGTAAGGACTGCTGTAAGTTTATGTCACCAGAACCCGTAACTGATGTATGTGAGCCATCAACTATGGATATTGTATGAGTTCCAATGGTAGGATGATAAGAAATAAAGGAGTCAGCACAACAAGCCATGTGATCAGTAGCACCAGAATCAACAACCCAAGAATGTTTAAAATCATTACATGAAGAAATGAAAGAATGAGTTTTGGAGCTCATACCAGTCATAGCCAAAGCACTAGTATCAGATGGCTTACTCAGATAATCAATAATGGTTCGGAGTCGTTCCAACTCATCTGGACGAAATGCAGATTGGATTTTATTAGGTGCAGGGGTTATTTCAGAAGAAGTAAAATGCGCTTGACCATGCATCCTTGCCATCTTTTCTAAGACAATTTGCTTTCCATAAAGGCGAAAGCATAAATCCTTGATATGACCTGTTCTTTTACAATAAGAACACCATCGATCATCTCTCTTAGGTCTAGAAGAGGTACCATCATAAAATTTTGAAAAAGAACTCCTTTGAGAAGAGGCCATACTGCACAAAAAATGGTTAAAGAAAAGCTCCAAGAAGCCAAAAAATCACAAATAAATATCAAACGATGTCCGATCAAAGAGAGGAGCACAGATCCAGAAAGAGGATGAAAGGACGATCAAGATTGCGGTGGTCCGATCCGGAAAAATGGTCTCACGCGC